TGTGCAAGTAACGATTTAAAAAGTGAATGAAGGCCGTGTTTTGGCCTGTATTTAACTTCAGCAAAAATAATACAAGCATTAGTAATGTGAACTTAAGAATTACCGAGGAGTCCAGGAAATGGTACCGCCCTTGTTCTTGGAGTTCAACCAACAAACCGTCTCATGCTGGCTGGGGCCAGGGCCTTCTGAAGGGGAGTGAAGCTTACACGCCCAGATGAACTTTAGATAGGCTCCACCTAACTTGTCTGCTCCTCTTTTGGCTTCTAAATTTGTCCGGGCGAGCTCACCACCAGTAGCACAAAATTCTCTATTTCTGGCTCAGTCCCCCACTTGCGACTCCTTGACTCATTCTAGCCAGCAGCTGCCAGCAACATGCATAGCTCCCGTGTGCGCACCTTGAGGTGATTTGATGGAGAGGCACATATTTATGATGTCATGTTTTGAAAATATGTACACACGTACATGCCACGACGTACCTCATTACCGAATAAATGTGGGACCTCACCGGCTTGGCAGCTGTCCAAAAATTGGGACGTGTTTGGACACACTGCTCGGTGCGAGGGTCACCAATTCCCCATTTGCTCCTAGGCAGCTCCATTCCCACCAGCAGACTCAGAGTAAAACTCATCTCCTGGACCTTTTATCTCGCCATGGAGCTTGCGGAACTAGAGGCAAAGGCTGATGACATTTTCCAAAGCATCAAATTCTCATTTGGAAAAGATGCTCTTCTCAGCTTTATAAAGAATTTGTCTCAGAGGCATCTTGGGGTTGAATACGTTTGTGATGCTCATCAAGAGGATGTGGTTCCTGATTACTCTGAAATGGTACCTTGGGGTGATACGCCAACGGATGTTGAGATGTTCTACCAAGATTACAGCACCAACAGAGATGTGCAATCCCTTGCATCTGTAGCTGGGGAAGTGAGACAAGCCGAAGTCTGTAGTACTAATCATTTACGCAGTGATACACTGGCTGGCACCGATGATTTCAGCGCTAGAAATGAAGCCTGTAACGAATGCGGTAATTTGGCTGTCTTTTCCCCTCCCAAGAAACGCATCCGTATGACGGATGACTCAACTGTGGCGCATGAACTTATCGATAAGAAGGCTAACAGCAACCGCGCTCAAAGAATTACCGCCCAACCATCAGAACCCTGTAAACCAGTAAAACAGCTTCAGCACCTCTACAAAGACACGATTGTTAGCTTTCTTAAATTGCACTGGGGCCATCTAACTATTAATGGCCTTTTCGGTGCCACTCTAAGGGAGACTGTTGCCTTCCCAAATAGCACTACACATCTACCCCATGAGCAGCAACGAGGTTATCACGACATCTTGCGGGCATTAGGCAAAAGCGATAGCCTACATTCTCTACGTCGAGTTGTGGCCGAAATCAGATCATTACAATGTTACACCAAGTTTCTAGAAGAAGTTCAACTTCGTTGTGGCCGGAAACGCGGCGAAAGCGCAAAGAATCTTGCTCACAAGGAATACATTCGTCAAGTGTTCCCTGACGCCACAACTGAGAGTCTGAAAACACACCATGCGAACTTTAAAAGCGATCTGCAGTCTGCTAGACGGTGGATATTGATGATTGAAGGGCATAAAGGAAAGGGCGGAGCTGGTCTGGGAATAATCTTAGCAGCCTCCAAGAGCTTAATTTCGTTTATGTAAGCGGATCCTAGAATGCAAATCTTTTAGCCCCTGTACTAATTTTGTAGCAATAACAAGTCGCAAGTAACTCATAAGGCACTGCTCGAACAACTTCAAAGGTTTACAAATGATGCACTTGCGATGGAGATCTGCCAAATACTTAATCCAGTTGCACAAGTATTATTACAGTGCCATAAACTGCCGGAGAAGCTAGACTGGAAACCAATTCATGAAAGTTTAGAACATAGCATTAGAGATATAAGCTAACATTTACTATATACATTTTTTTACGGTAATTACCATTAATCCCTTTGGTGCGAGGGTTAAGACTAAAACAGTATCTCGCCACTATCAATGGCAGTTTGAATTGCTAGCAACTGGAGCTTAACTGCGTTCTGAATTTACCAAATGTTACGAACAAAGGCCTCTGCGTTGGGCTGCATACGTCACGTGCTGGAGTGGTGTCGTGGGACCCACTCGAAGGACCATGATTGGGACTTCACTTAGGCAAAGTGAAGTCCAGGTGAAGTCCAAGTGAAGCACAGGTTAACCCCCTAGTATATATACACATTCATTTCATTAGCTAGAACACTCCTTTAGACAATTATCAAGACAATTGCCTACGCCTTCATTGAAGCTAGCTCCTCAGTGCTCGCACATTGGCTGTGACTCGCACAGAACCTAAGACAACCTGATCGTGTTACGAACAAAGCATATGCCACCCAGTATCACGTGGCATACCCCACTCTTTTCCACCAATAAAGATTGGATCACTCCGGATCACCAGTGAGCCTCCACGATCCAAGGACAAGACTCACTCTGGATCACCAGTGAGCCTGCGTGAGCCACTAGTATATATACACATTCATTTCTTAGCTAGAAACACTCTTTTAGACAGTTATCAATAACATCGCTACCGCCTCCATTGAAACTAGCTCCTCAGTGCTCGCACACTAGCAGTGACTCGCACAGCACCAAGACAACCTGATCGCGCCACTCAGAACAACACTCTGATTGGTTCAACCCCGACCTACCCTAGACCCCCGTCCAGTGTAAGTCGCCCAACCGTCACAGATCGTCCCAGTCAGAACAACTCTGATTGGTTACATCTCTGATCCACCGTTGACTCCGTCCAGTGCAAGTCGCCAAAACCGTCACATTTAATCGGGCTGCGGGTTGCTACCAACCGTAGCTTTTCTAATTCTCATAATTTTAACCTAGGTGCTACTATTTCATTTTCCGATTTGGTCAGGTCATAGGGTTGCCAGCAACTTTACTGCTTCCCGTAATTTGCCTTTACCTTCCGTTGCAAGGGCTACAGCCCCAATTTTCTAGTCAACATACTCCCACACTTTCGATTGAGGCAATTACGGGCTTGATCAACCCAGGAACACAGCAATTAGGTATCTATAGGAAGCTTAAGCTTGCTATCTTCCGGCTCTTTCATTTACAAAGCATTCAGCCGCTTTCGACGTTTTCCCCTTGCCGAGATCTAACAAAGATTACCGCCTCCACACCGAAAGAGCAATATGGGCCGCGACCCGCATTGCAAAGCGGAAAATCAAGAATGGTCAAGCGACCGGAGGTTCGACCCTAGTCAACGCTACGCGGACGATGTGGACCTTGCACTTGTGGAGGATTCCAATTTTGATGACGCATGGACATACGTGGCATGTGATGAGGATGAGCCTTGCCGAGATTGCGGCCGTTTGGCACCGCACCTGGACTGTTTAGTTATTGCAGTTGATGGCGCTTGCCGGCAGAATGGCAAAAGCACAGCTGTTGCGTCAATTGGCGTATTCGTTCATGGGAATTCGAGCCACAACTCCAGCAGGCTACTACATAAGCCCAAGGTTACCAACCAACTCGCAGAGCTATGGGCTGGTGTTGAAGCGCTTCAGTTGGCGATTAGAATACGAGATGAAGGGATGATTGAATACCCTCTTCGACAGGCAGTAATCAAGGCTGATTCAGAATACTTCGTGAGAGGGATGACGGAATGGATATTCAAGGTGGGAAAGAAATGGCTTCAGAAACTCAAAGGGAAAACCGTTAGAAAATTCATCGGTGTTCCAAGTTCTGCAGATGCTTGTTACAAAGCTGAATGGAATGGGGGTTGAAGTCTTGTTCTGGCATGTGCGTCGGGAGCAGAATACAGAGGCTGATAAGCTAGCAAAAAGGG